CGCCTGGCGGTCGCGGGTCGGGGTGCAGGAGTGCTGCGGGCGTTCGGTTAGGGTCCAAGGTTAAAGAGCGCAGGGGTCGGCAGGGGGCGTGGTGGTGAAGGCGCTGGATTCCCGCGGTTGGAGTCCCTGACCTGGCGGCTTATTTCTCACTTTCTGTCTCTGGTGAGCATAGGTGCCCTGTAACAAGTTTAAAAATGTATAATAATGATAAAAATTAAATAACCCATTTAAAAATTATATTTATGTCCTATTTCTGAACCGTTTATGCAGGATGTTGAGGCCCCGCGGGCAAGACCTGCAGCTCCTTCCAGCCTGTACAGGGACCCAGAGCTGGAACCGTCTTCCCCAAAACCAGCCTAACCCTGGCATGGCTACAATGGCCTTACCCGACCTTTCCCGCCTTAAAGAGACTCCCACCCCACTTCAGGGTCCCGTTCCACATGCAGGAGACAGGACTCTGCCCAGACCTCAACACCAGACACCCCCTGGGCCTCTGGCTTCCGAGGCTGCCTGTGGTCCAGACCCAGGCACGCTGAAGGTGCCATCCAGATTTCCCTGTGTCTGCAGGATCCTGTGTCCTGTGATTAAGTTTGTTAGGCTTGGCCCTTGTTACCCTGTCCAGCAGCGTAGGCACTGACACTTAACAGATAGCCAGTCTGTGTGTGTGAGGTTTTGTCATAGGGAAGGTGAGCTGGCCAGAGAGAAACAGTGGGCAAGTGAGGGATCACTGGGGGGATGACCATGCCACATCCCCTCTCGGGATTTTGGGCATGCTGCACACTCGCCTGCATGATTTTCAAGCAGCTGGATCTGGAACTCAAACGTGGTTGGCCACGGGGGAGTCTCACACCTTAACACATCCACCTGCTGGCCCCAGAAAATGCGTCATTTCACCTTCTCTTTCTTACACTGTCTTCACAATCTGCTGTATACTTGACACTTGGGCTCACCTCAGCTGCTGCAGCTGCCCGAGCACCACGATGAGAGAGGTCAACTGCAGAGGGAGTGGAGAGAGTTCCTGGTGGACTTGAGTTGGAGATGAGGCTGGGGGGCGTGATCCTGTGTTCAGCGCTCGAGTGTCTGGTCTGAAGACAGAGTGAGGCTGGGCCAGCGAATGCCATTGAATCCGGAGTGAACGTGCAGGCTTGTGCACCGTCCAGTGCTCCCGGGCTGCTGTTCCGCCAGCGGGGGTCTACGTCCCTTCCTCCAGGCCACACACCGCCAACACCCGACTCGTGCAGTTCAAGCCCGCTGCCCCTCCTCAGGTCCCTGCTCCATCTGCTGGAGTCCTGTACCCTCTCCAGTGTGTTTATGTTAAAAGTGACTTTCTCATTCTCTACATGTAGTTTAAAATCTCAGGTTATGGGAGTCGGCAGGTGGCATAGTGGGTAAGGGTGCTGGACTCCCACATGGCCAACTGTGGTTCAAGTCCTGGACCTGGCAACTTCCCTCTTTCCTCTCTCTGTCCTTCTTTGGTCAAATTAAAATAAAGTTAAATAGAAATAATTATTTAAAAAAAAGAAAATTCCAGGTTATGATAGAAACAAGACCCCTTTAAAAACATTAATATATTATTATTTAATTTGCTATAGGGCGCATGCACTCACCAGAGAACAGGGAAAGTGAGAAAGCAGGCCACCAGGTCCACATGGAGCTGCAGTTGGCCGTGCTGGGGTTCAGCCTCTTACCATGCCGTCTGCTGGCCCTGCAAAACTTCACAGCAATGAGCAACACATTCGTGCACGTCATCTTGCGCCACCGTGTAGTTTGCCGGCACACAGGCGTGACCTGAGCATACATGCAGGTGTTGCACAGAGCGTGCCTGCCGAGCGGAGCAGGACATGAACTGGCCACGACTGGCAGGGAGCCCAGCAGCCAGGGCCACACCACAGACTGTTCTCTGCAGCTGGGTGGACCTGGGCGCTTTAACTACCTTGTGTTTCAGTCTCCTCTCCCGCACAAACGGGAGCCAGTCTGCGGAGCAGTTGAGAGGCTTGAAGGAGCGTGGAAGTACCTAACATGGCACCTCGCACCACTAACACTCAAATGTTAGCTATTAAGTGTCGGGGCACTGAACCCCACACGGCCAGCTGCGGTTCAAGTCCTGGACCTGGAGGCTTGCTTTATCTCTCTCTCTCTTTTTCTCTCTCTTTCGTGAGTGCATGTGCCCTATAGCAAATTTTAAAATAATGATAATCATAAAATTAAATAATTCCTTTAAAAAATAATTATTGTTATGGAACCAGCAGATGGCTTAATGGTTACATTGCTGGATGCCCACATGGCTTACTGTGGTTTGATTCCTGAACCTGGAGGCTTGAAACTCACGCTGGGTGTGTGTGTTCATGCCCAAAATCCTGAGAAGAGTCTGAAGGAGACTTATTGCAGCATGGCCATCCCCCCGAGGGGTATTTCTCCCTGTCTCCCTGTCTGTCTGTCTCTCTCTCTCCAGTGAGTGCACATGCCCTATAGCAAAAATGTCTCCACGTAGAAAAGATTAGTAGTTATTACAGATTGTGGACTACACGCATTTAGGGGAGATGAAAATGTGCAGGGTATCAGCACAGCCCTCTGTGGGTTTATAAAGCAGCTGCTATGGGAACCGTACCGCAGGGTTCAGGGAATTCAGAGGGCGCTTAGCACTTCTCTCCTGCCAGCTGGAGACTGGCATGGTCCTGATGCCCACGTCTCCGTTCTCACTCTCCTGGACGACTGCGGTGGGCTGTTACCCTGACCAGGCTGCCCCTGCGACCTTGAGCTGCTGCCAAGGGAGATGTGGGAAGGCCTGGCCTTAGAAGCAGGCAGTGCAGGGCCAGCAGATGGCATAGCAGTTATGTTGCTGGACTCCCACAGGACTGACTCTGGTTTGAATCCCAGACCAAGTGGCTTGAAGCCCATACTGGGTGCATGTGTGTGTGTGTGTGTGTGCTCAAGATCCTGGGAGGAGAATAGAGAAGGGATTGTAGCCAACCCCCCTGGGGAATGATTTCTCACTTTTCCTGTCACCGTCTCCTCTCTCTGGCAAGTGCATGCACCCTAAGTAAAAAAAAAAAAAAAAGCTAAAAGAAGGAAAAAAAGGCAGTGTCTCTGAGACACTCGGTCACCCTGAAGAGGAAGGAACAGGCCTTTGAGAGGCTTGTGGAGGGGCCTCAGAGGAGCTGAGGGTGAGCCCAGCTCAGTCCTAACAGCTGCAAGGAGCTGAATACTGCCAATGACAAGAAAGCTTGGGGACTCCAGAGCTCCAGGTGCGAGCTTGGCCCACACCCTAACTCTACGTTAGGAGACCGAAGCAGCAGACCCGGAGTGGGAGAGCTGGAGAGGGCTTCTGACGACACACAGCGTTCCCTGCAGACGACTGTGGACGACCAAGCTCAGACTCCCCAGAACACCAGCCTCCCTCACTTGCACAGAGCTGCCTCTGGGCTCCTGGATAAGCAGCTTCAGAAAGAGACCAGCATGAAGAAGCTGAACTGAGTTCAGGGCAAGTGTAACCAGAGACAGCCACTCAAGGGAGGGAGTGCCACCGAAGCAGCAGAGGAGCGTGCAAGAGCTGGCTCTCGGAGGTGACGTTCTAGGCCTAGCCGGTGCTGTGGGGTGTGGTGCCTAACATGCCGGGTCTCACGTGGCTGGCTATGCAGCTGAGTCTCGGACCCAGCTGCTTGAAAAAACTCACTGGGCATGTATGTGTGCCCAAATCCCAAGAGGAGAATGGAGAAGGGATTGAGGCATGGCATTGTAGGTGGGGGGAGGAATTTCTCACTTTGCATCTCTTGTGGGTGGGGGGAGGAATTTCTCACTTTGCATCTCTCTGGCAAGCACATGTGCCCAATAGCCAAAAAAGAAAAAAGGCAAAGATAATGTCCTAGTCTTCCACTGTGAATAACGGAAACACCTGATACCGGGGATTTGTAAAAATAGAGGTTTATTCGGTCCCGGTTTGGAAGCTCCACGGTCTGGGGCTGCAGGCCTTCAAACCCTGCGTGACTTCTGGAGGGGACACTCAGACCATAGTCGATGAATAGGGGTTTGCTGTCAGGACCGAAAGGAGAAGGATGGTCCAGGCACAGAGCATGGCACAGACAGATCCGTAACGACATGACCTGGGGAGGATGGCGGGCAGTATGGCATGCCTAGGGGACTGGCTGTAAGTGAGGCGTGACAAGGGCCACATTTCAAAATACCCAGTCGTGCGGAGGGGCTTTACTTTCTTTTTCTTTTTTTTTTTTTAGAGGTTGTTGATATAGGGTGTGTGGACTCGCCAGAAAGAGAGAGACAGAGAGGCAGAAAGTGAGAAATCACCCCCCAGGGGGGATGACCACGCCGCAATCCCTTCTCCTCCATTCTCCTCTTGGGATCTTGGGCACGTACGCACATGCGCCCAGCGTGAGTTCTAAGTCACCAGGTCCTGGACACGAACCGCGGTCGACTATGTGGGAGTCCAGCGACATAGCCATTACACTAACTGCTGGTTCCCAATAAATAAATAATTTTAAAAAGAACCCTTATCTCCACCACCACCCCCAGATTCCCATTTTTTAACTTCATACGCCATTTGTTCTACTTTGTTGTTATCTATTTTTCTCTCTTTCTTTTTTTCCTTTTCTTTGAGAGGTTTTTGCTATAGGGCATGTGCGCTCACCAGGAAGACAGAGAGAGACAGAGAGACAGAAAGCGAGAAATCACTCCCCAGGGGGGCTGGCCACACCGCAATCCCTTCTCCTCCATTCTCCTCTCGGGATCTGGGCACACACGCACATGCACCCAGCGTGTCCGGGACTCGAACCACCGTCGGCTACATGGTATTCCACTGATGTAGCCACTACACCAACTGCTGGTCCCTGTCTTTCATTCTTTCTCTTTTAGTTTTGCTGTAGGACATGTGCACTAGCTGGAGAGAGACAGAGGGAAAGTAAGAAATCAGCCCCCAGGTTTTGGCCATGCTTTGATCCCTTCCTTCTCCCTTCTCTAATAATTTGGGGCATGCACACATGCCCAGTGTGCTTTTCAAGCTGCTGGATCTGAGACTTGAACCATTCAGTCAGCCACGTGGAATCCAGCTGCCTTAACCACCATGCCACTGAATGGCCTTCTGTTAACCTGTTTTCTATCTAAACAGACATTTACTCATTACTGTCTTTTTCTGAATCTCAGAGCTTCGTATGAAATTATGCAGTCTCCCTAATCTTAGACTGTTTCATGCTGCTATCATAAAATATATGAGACTGGGTAACTTATAAAGAACAGACTTATTTTCTCACCATTCTTGAGGCTGTGAAGTCCAAGATCAAGGCTCCCACAGGTCTGGGGCCTGGCGAGGGCCACTCCTGCTTCCCAGGCGGTGCGATGGTGCGGCATTCTCTTGAAGAGAGCACACTGGCCTCACATGGAGACGGAAAGCCAAAGGTTACAAGACACTTCTTTCATAGGAGGGACCTTCAAACAATTTATGGAAAAATGGAATTAAAGTATGAATTGCTTTTTGTGTAAAAACATTTCAAATTCATGCAGTTTTACGTAACACTTTTTTTTTTACCCTTTAGGTTGTTGACATAGGACTCATGAGCTGGCCAAAGAGAGACAGAGAGAGGGAAA